AATTATTTTTGGGCACGGCAGACCTTGGTCAAACTATAAGGGTCAAATTATATTGTCATATGAATTGAAAATTAAATAACTGTTACAGTGGAAATTCAGACACATGTTAAAATGAAGCCCAGGTTTGTCTCTTTAAAAAGAGCTAAATAGACAATTAAATATAAAGACCATTTACTACCAAGTAACTTTATAAGTAGCACACTCACTGCCACTTCAGCTACTTTGGAGATCAACATATGTCAAGAGATGTAAGAAATTTTGCAGACAGCCTGTGTAACTGCCTTGTAAAATATAGTTGTGCATACTACAAGCTCCATAGGTCTTTGGTGTTTGTTAAGTGTGTGTTCAAAAATACTATCTGAACACACGGATGGATTGGGAGACTCCAAAATCATGATGAACTCATCCAAAGTTGGCTGCATTCCAATCTAAGGATGCTGGCACAGGGACCACAGTAGCATGATGGTCCATATTGTCATTTTTTCCTACTGTCATCACATGGACATTATGTGCAATGTCCATTGGAGGGCAACTTGGTATTGCAGTACTAATTTAAAAAAAATTTAAAATGGCACTTTGGCTATTCCTACTGAACTGTGCAGTGGCTTTTACTTTAGAATGACTAGAGTTCTCCTTTAAGGGAAAACACACAACTTCATGCAATGAATACTGAAAATAATTTGAAGTAGAAGTACTATCTGAAAAAAAAAACTTCTAAGAGCTAAAAATGAATTTGGTAAGGACGGTGGAATTTGTCATTATGATCAAATGATTACAGTGCAAGCCCCTGAGATTTTTCAATGGCTCAGCAGGTTATTGGTCCCCATGGAAACCAAATCTGGTACATTGTCCTATACTCAGCTGGAGTATTGAATGTTGGGGTCTTTTGTGCATGATGAGATTTCTTCTGCAACCTTCCAGCAACAGACTTCAGTGCTTCCTTCTGACTCGCTTCTAATTGAGATGCAAATGAATCTCTGCGGCTGATTACACTTCCCTCAAAGCTTCTGACAAGTGCAGCTGTATCCAGAGTTTGCAGACGTTCCAACAAGTGACTTCAGCTGTCTTTACTTGAAAACGGCTGCCAAGCTTCCACTGTCCTTGTGGAGATAGATTTGCTTCAGAAACACCCCTTCCCTAAACTCTAGCAGACACAATTATCCATAAAGCCATTGTAGTTGCTTTGTACTGTCTGCAGTGGAACCTGCACTGCACTTTCATGTAGTTAAGGGTGATTGTTTTTAATATAGGTCAGGACCCATTTTACGGAAATATCTCTTTTATGGTTTGCAGAGTTTTAATATTATGAGGTTTTGTTTCTAACAAATTTTGCTGTAGCTCAATTCTGGGTAATCCTAATTCCTAAAATCACCTGTATAAAATATAGCAAGATGTTAACAGTTGGATTAGGACACCTCTTATAACAGGGTTTTTAAGATGAACATCCTACTGACAAAAAAGAAATGACCTAGTGCACTACAGCTATATCTGGATATAACAAAAACCCAAGTTCTTTTATAGGTAAGCTGTACAAATATTTAACTGCTTTACCCCCAGGCCAATTCTGACATTTCTTTCAGAAATGTACATCTTCTGTACATGTAGAAAAAAAATCAGCATTTTTTACTAGAAAATTACTTAGAACCCCCAAACAGTATATATTTTTTTAAAACAGAGACCCGGGAGAATAAAATGATGCTGTTTGCACAATATTTGCTCAGACATGCAAATTATTTGGAGAAATTACACTTCAATTAATTTTAATGTACACAAACACAATATAATACCCAATTTCTGGTAAAATATAAAAGATGATGTTATGCCAAGTAAATAGATACCCAACATTTCTATTCTTTAAAATTGTGTACGCCCATGGAATAGCGCCAAACTATAGTACTTTAAAATCTTCATAGGCGATGCTTTAAAAGTCTTTACAGGTTACCAGTTTAGAGTTAAAATGGAGGTTTGACACTGGAATTATTTCTCTCGCACTGACATTTGTAGTGATACCTCACATGTGTGGTGCAATCACCGTTTACATATGTGTGCAGGACATACACTATATTGTCAAAAGTATTGGTTGCCCTGCCTTTACACGCACAAACTTTAATGGCATCTCAGTCTTAGTCCGTAGGGTTCAATATTGAGATGGCCCACTCTTTGCAGCTATAACAGCTTCAACTCTTCTGGGAAGGCTGTCCACAATGTTTAGAAGTGTGTCTATGGGAATGTTTGACCATTCTTCCAGGAGCACATTTGTGAGGTCAGGCACTGATGTTGGACAAGAAGGCTTGGCTCGCAGTCTCCATTCTAATTCATCCCAAAGGTGTTTTATCCAGTTGAGGTCAAAACTTTGTGCAGACCAGTCAAGTTCCTCCATCTCAAACTCGCACATCCATGTCTTTATGGACCTTGTTTTGTGCACTGGTGTGCAGTCATGTTGGAACAGGAAGGGGTCATCCCCAAACTCTTCCCACAAAGTTGGGAGTATGAAATTGTCGAAAATGTCTTGGTATGATGACGCCTTAAGATTTCCCTTAACTGGAACTAAGGGGCATACACATCCATCGGCTTGCCAGAAAAGCATGATTCGTCAATACAGAGAACACGTCTCCACTGCTCTAGAGTCCAGAGTTCCATTGCGCTTGGTGATATAAGGCTTGGATGCAGCTGCTCGGCCATGGAAACCCCTTGCATGAAGCTCTCTATGCATTGTTGTGCTAATCTGAAGGCCACATGAAGTATGGAGGTCTTTAGCGATTGAATCTGCAGACAGTTGGTGACTTTACGTGGCGTACCACTTCATGACTGAGTTGCTGTTGTTCCCAGTTGCTTCCACTTTGTTATACCACTAACAGTTGACCGTGGAATATTTAATAGCAAAGAAATTTCATGGATGGCATCGTGATAGGTTGCACAGGTGGCAACCTATCACGATGCCCCGCTTGAATTCACTGAGCTCCTGAGAGCGACCCATTCTTTCACAAATGTTTGTAGAAGCAGTCTGCATGCCTAGGTGATTGATTTTATATGCCTGTGGTCATAGAGGTGATTGGAACACCTGAATCCAATGATTTGGAGGGGTGTCCCAATACTTTTGGAAATATAGTGTATGCATTTGCTCGTAAGCACTTTTTTTTGTTTAATGTTTTTATTTATGTTATTATTTCTTTTATTTAAAGCTTTTTTTTTTTTTTTTTTTACACTGCCCCTTTACATTTCTTGCATCAAACTTTATTGCTATCACAAGGGAGAGATTTGGTGTCTACAAGACCCCAGATCTTTCCTCTGCCCTCAAAAGAATCTGATCAAAGCAAGTTTGGTTTGTAGCCTGTAACAGCTTGTAAACATCAAACCGAAACTGGAAGTGACTAAAATCCTCATTGCTTCTGGTTTCTTACATCACAGAAGGAAGGCAGGAACAGATGTATCTTCCTCCCCTCGCAGAGTAAATGGACACCAAGCAGTAGCAATAAAGTGGGGCCTTCTGCACCCTGCATAACCACTCGGATCACTAATACAAGAAAGCCCACTGCTGGATTAAATATTTGATTCCAGAATGATGCTGGCACAGTGCAGGCATTATCTGGTTTAACCATTTCAACCTGAGGGTGTACAGGTATGTCCTAAGGCGTTGAAGTGGTTAAAGACTTACAGCCAAAACTCCCGCAAGCTGCTAAAGACATCTATGGTATGCACATATATTGGAAAATATATTTTATTATTTTTTAAGCCTTTTCACTTATCCCAATTACTACCACAAGGGGTCTGACAAGCCCCCTATGAGAGCAATGAGTAAAGTGACAGGTACTTTTTATGTAGACAATTTGGGTTTAATATACAACTGAGCCTTCCCTGCACTGTGCTGCAAAAGATCAAGGACATGATGGCCACAAACTTGGAAGTGTTTAGAGCAGATCACTTAGTGCAAAGTAGAGATCGAGGAACAAACCCCTCCATTTTTTGTAGGAAGCTTGTTATGACCCTTTGATGGCCATAACATGTAGGTCAAATCCATGGTAGTCAAAAGGTTAAAGAAGCTACAGAATCCAGGTTGTTTCTTAAAAACATGTAAAATCCGAATATTCGTAGTCTGACCACAGATTTAATTTAAAGTGGAACTAAAGTATAAAAAGAAACAAAATGGAAGGAGACAGGCTCCTTATTCCAGATGAGCCATGCAATGTCTCTTCTGCAATAAAATAAACCTACCCACCTGCTCACAGTCCTCTGTAAAATGTACACGAAGATGTGCACGCGCAGCTATGTTTACATTCCGGCACAGTGCCTGTGTGCTGGGATAACTTTACTCCAATGTGGGAGTGATGTTATCCCACACCAACCGATCAAAGTGGCTGAAGATCGACACCTGGGAGAAGGCAGGGAGGAGATGCCAGCACTGGTGAGGGACATTGTGGACAGTTGAAGCAAAGGTATTTAGAAAGTTATTACCCCTTTATCTTTACAAATATATGGGCAGACCCTACAAGCAAAAATAAAAGAAAATCAGCTTTATATCTTAAATATTCAGTGACACACAGTTCCTTCTTGAAATGAAAAAGTGCTTTAAATATGTATATCAATTTGTCAGAAGTGTGTGTATTGGGTGGATATAAAGGTAGATAGATATGATTAAATCCTTTATAGTCATACAAAATACAGGATAAAACAGATCTTGAGAGTGTATAATTATTCAATATTTTAATCCAGATCCCTTTATTTGTCAAGGCTTGCAAGGGATCATGAGACTTTTGGAATGTGCAAAACACACCGACTCTTTTGTGATGCAAATGACCAACTAGTAATAATATTCCCCTGCATCATTTTCTGTAAGTCCCTCCTGAACATAGCATTTCATTTTATTGTATTTTTTTTTGCTCATTTAAACAAATATATACATGAACCAACTGCTTTATTTATCTAGGAGTACAAAAGAAATACACAAAAAAACTTACCAAATGGAAGTGAAAAACCTGTGTTTGAACATTACCATAAAAAGGATACAAGCTCTGGTAGAGAGGGATAAGAGACTTCACTGCTCTGCTGGCGTTGATGCAAGTTGCACAAACAAGTGTTGGTAGGAGCGTCTCTGTTATAATAGCGCCATCAAAAAGGGGACCAAAAAATGGCACCTATAAAATACAAATACATAATGTATGTGTAAATATATTGCCTCATAGGTTGCTGTGGACAAAATGTCTGTTTATTTAATATTCTAAGTGTCATCATTTATTGCACTGTTTTTCTCAAAATTTTGATTTTGTTAGGGGCAGGGAAGTTGCATTTATTTAGAAACTTAATATATGTTAAAGGTAGCTCTGGCCAGCCTTTTAAAACAACTTTTGGGTGCCCCCTTCCGTATATGGCTACTGCTCGTTAATTATGGGGAAAGGGGATGGGGTGTTAACAAACAGGAATACTGGCATGTAGGTGGTTCCTTGATATCCTCACATACAATGCAGGACTGCTTGTTCTGCATTCTATGTGATGTCAGCAAGGAAATGGCTGCACAACCAGGGAAGAGGAGAAGGTTCAAAGTTCAGCTCAACCTTCCTGGAACCTGGCATAAAAGAGGACTGCAAGAGCGAGTAATAAATTATGTAATCTCCTGATTTACACCCCCCAAGACTAAATGAGCATAACGCTGGCCATACACTACATGAATTTCAGGTGATTCCTGCTAGCCTGGCTGACATTCAAGCAGTGTATAGCTCTGCTATTGCATTTGATAAAAGTTCAGTGTTCAACTGACATTTGTTGTAGAAGCCTGTTGGAAAATGATTGGCCGAAGAGCCAATACATCCAATCAAATGCAGGCAATACTGGGGTTTTCTATCATCCAGCAACTTTGGCTATCAGAATTTAATGGCCCGGCAGGGATTTGTCCATCTGCACATCTCTATAAGTATAACTAGCTTTATTTATTACAGGTACTTATGTAGCGCCGCCTATTTATGCAGCACTTTACATTTACACTTTACAATATTGTACATTCACATCAGTCCCTAACCCTCAAGGAGCTTACAATCTAAGGTCCCTAGCTCACATTCATACATACACATACCAGGGCCAAATTAGAAAGGAGGAAATTAACTTGCCAGCATGTCTTTGGAGTGTGGAAGGAAACCAGAGAACATGGAGGAAACCCACGCAGGCACAGGAGAATATGCAAACTCCAGGCAGTTAGTGCCATGGTTGGGATTAAAACTGAGGACGCTAGTGCTGCTAGGCAGAAGTGCTAACCACTTAGCCACTGTGCTAGCTTTAGATCTTTATTAGATTGTGGGGGAAGGGGGGGGGGGGCGCAGGGGCATGCAAAATCTATTTCTGAAAGATGATCGGATTTCAGCTTTGGGGGCAAGGTATAATTTTTAGATATACATATAACTGAGTGGAGCATGATATATATATATTTACAAATGCTTAACCAAAAAGTGAGTGGGAGCATTTAGAAGGCACCTCGTTATGAAAACATTCTACGCAGAAGGATTTTTGTAATGGCACAAAGACCTGAGCACCATATAAAGTACCAGGGCCAGGGCCCAGGAACCTGAGCACCATATAAAGTACTTTAGCCATAACAAAAATCCTTCTGCGCAGCATGATATATATTGTGTGAATGTGTTTTGATCTTTTTAAAAACCTTGTATATATGTGCAGTTGGGAGTTTTGTATTGACATATAGGCAGCCATATTTTCTTATTACATACTCTGGCTGTGCTTCCTTGCTTGCAGTTCTGCAAAATGCCTCTACTGCACTGCTGCTGCTCATAATGTAAATGTGTAAATCTGAGGCAGTCGACTCCCTGATAATAGTCTTTGTGTGGCTAAAAATTTTAAATCAACAGTTGTTAGATCATAAATGAAGTGGGATTGTAAAGACTAATTTATCGAGCCTCTGGTGGCAAATCTACAGATATCAACATTTATTAAAAAACAAAACATATATATGTACAATGGAAAAACAAATATAAGCTGTATGCAAACAAAACTGAAGCGCATTTGTGAGGCCAGGCACTGATGATGGACAAGGCCTGGCTTGCAGTCTCTGCTCTAAAGCATCCCAAAGGTGTTGTGTTGAGGTCAGGACTCTGTGCAGGCCAGTCAAGTTCCTCCACCCCAAACTCACTCATCCATATCTTTATGGACCTTGCTTTATTTCCAAACTGTTCCCACAAAAGCTGGGAGCATGAAATTGTCGAAAATGTCTTGGCATGCTGACACCTTAAGAGTTCCCTTCACTGGAACTAAGGGGCCAAGCCCAACCCCTGAAAAACAACACCATGATCCCCCCCTCAACCAAACTTTACAATTGGCACAATGCAGTCAGGCAAGTACCGTTTTCCTGGCAACCGCCAAGCCCAGACACATAAATCAGATTGCCAGACAGACAGAGAACACGTCTCCACTGGTCTAGAGTCCAGTGGTGGCGTGCTTTATGCCACTGCATCAGATGCTTTGCATTGCACTTGGTGATGTAAGGCTTGGATGCAGTTGCTTGGCCATGGAAACCCATTCCATGAAGCTCTCTACTCACTGTTGTTGTACTAATCTGAAGGCCACATGAAGTTTGGAGTTCTTTAGCTATTAACGCTGCACACAGTTGGCGACTTCTGCACACTTCAGCATGTGCTGACCCCGCTCTGTCATTTTATGTGGCCTACCACTTCGTGGCTGAGTTTCTGTTGTTCCCAGTTGCTTCCACTTTGTTATAATACCACTAACAGTTGACTGTGGAATATTTAGTAGCAAGGAAATTTGATGGATGGACTTATTGCACAGGTGGTAACCTATCACGGTACCACGCTTGAATTCCCTGAGCTCCTGAGAGCGGCCCATTCTTTCACAAATGTTTGTAGAAGCAGTCTGCATGCCTAGGTGCTTGATTTTATACACCTGTGGCCATGGAGGTGATTGGAACACCTGAATCCAATGATTTGGAGGGGTGTCCCAATACTTTTGGCAATATAGTGTATATACACACACACACAAATATATACAAAGCATGTAGAAATTACACATCAAAGTTACTTTAAAGTAAACCCTCCCTAATATATCAAGTTATAAGTTGCCGTTTTTTCCCCAGTCAGCCACCATATTAGGAGTATTTTAAAATTATATAATCTGTTGTCATTTTGCAAGCAGGATTCTAGATTAAATATCAATATATAAAATAAACACTTCTAGAAAATAACACAAAATAGCAGGCACGCCAAACGGATTTTCGTTCAAAAAACATGTTTTAGTTATTCATAAGCTGCTGTGCTCATTTCTGTTCCAGCAGAGAAACTGCGACTGCCCATACAGAGATTAGTGACATTTGACAGAAGGGTCACAAACCATTCTGAATACTGACAGGCTGAATAGCTGATCTGTATATTAAGCTAAGGCTAAGTAGCATGAACAGTAAAGATGAGGACTATATGAAAATAGCTCAAGTGCTTCTGCACTTTAGCTGAAAAAATTCACTTTGCAAATCAGTATTCATTCTGTGAGCAGCATTGTACATTTATAGTGGTGGCAGAAACATGTCTAACAAGCATCTTCAGAGTCAGTCAGAAAGCAGAGAGGGAAATAAAGCAAACAAAAAGGATCCTATATATATAAAAAAAAAACCAGAATATTGATTGCCCCAATCACAACTGCCTACTGTCCTTAAGAGCTCAGCAGGACAGATTGAGCAGCTTCTCCACAAGAGACAGAATGCAGCCTCTGCCTCCACTCTAGCACTTTGATAGGCTCACTTAGGTCCTCCAGGGAGAAAACGGTCAGGTCTGACACCAGATTTGCACCATCTGTTCCCCTTTTCTTATGTGTGCAGATCAGTCAGAACTGACCAGAGCCAGCTCGGACGCGGAGGGACGATGGATTTAGTGAGCAGCATTGTAAGACAAGGAACACATGCTTTCTGAATTATTAAAACGCCACTTAAAAAGCTAAATGCATGCCTTTAGGTAAGCATAGTTCAGAACATGAAAACTAGGAAACGAAAAACAAAACCACAAAAGGTAGCAATGAAAAACTGATTTCCTCATTAATTACAATACTTTAAACACCAAGGCTTCATGAACATTAGAGGTTTTTTAAGCTCAAAAAATTCTAGAAAAAAACATTGTATGAAGAAACACTGATAATAGCGTTTTTGCCCTGGCTAGTAGTGTTTTAGTAAAGTTTAGCATTTTATTAACGCTTTACAGTACATGAAGAAGAAAAAGAAAGCGCTAAAAAAAAAAAAAGTTCTTAGGAGCATTTTAGTAGCGTTTAGAAGCGTTCAGCGCTATTTTTTCCTGCCAAGAAAATGCTTTCAAAAACTCTACAAAAACTATTTCTTTCTGCTCCTAAACAGTGAACCTTGAAAAGCACTTCAAGCATAAACTACTGTGCATGTACACATAGAATAACATATTAGTGTCTAGGAGCAGGGAAACAATGCTCATAATAGATTCTAGGAGCTTAAAAAATAAAAAAAAAAGCTGCTGTGCGTGAAGACTAAACCTTTATGCACAGCACATGCGAACTATTGGGCTTAAGTAGCAGTATAGTGCAAGGTGCACTATGAAAACTACAGTAAACCATAACAAGAACACAATTATTTTGAAAAATATCGTTAATGCATAGAAAAATACCAAATCAACAACTTGAACAGTAAAAACCTGGTGTCCTCTTCAACCCAAATCATAAGAAAATATATTGACTAAACAAGAGCATTATGTTCAAAAGAAACTATTAGAAACCAATAAACATAAACACAAAATAAAGTTAAGACCTAGTGACTAAGAAAGCAGAAAACCTAGTCCCTGGGTCACAGGACCTTCAGAAACAGAGATGTCAACACCACTACATACTGTCACCACCTGCAGCCAGAACTTCTGAAAGCAGCACTGACACTTAGGTAAGTATCTGATCAGTAAGGCTACGTTCACACTAGCGTTGTGTGCAGGCGGCAGAGAGGCGTTTGGGAAGCGTTTTTACCGCTTCCCAAGCGCCTCTGCCAATTCTGCACATTACAGCACATGGTGCTGTTCTAACGGGAGCATTTGCGTCGCGTTGCGTCACGGCAAAAGGGACGCCTCTGGTCGAGTCAGGAGGCATTGAAGCCTCCTATTCTCGTCTATGGTGCCGCTCCGCAAAT